CCATCTCCCTTCCCAGCACTCACATCCTGGTCAAAGCAGTCATGCGCCTGATGCCATTTGACAAGGCGCCAGAGAGGAGATTAAAGCCCAAGTTCCTGAGTTAGGGGAGAGAGGGAGACGCAGTATGTTTGGAGAAGGGTGGACATGGCTGCTGCGGGGGCAAGGGACGCACAATGGCACGTGTTTTGAGCCGTCTCAAAACACGCCTCTTATACCACGGGGAGAGGGGGATGCAGCATGTGTGGAGACGGGTGGACATGGCTGCAGGGACGCACATTGGCACGTGGAGGGTGCATGTCGGTGGCACACAGGGGCTGCATGCAGGGTGCAAGGTGCATGGTGCATGGTGCATGGTGCAAGCCACACAGCACGCACAGCTTCTCGAGCTTCCCGAGGGACGAGATGGAGGCGGGAATGCGACCAGAGAGGCTGTTGTTGGTCAGACCCCTGGCGGTGGGAGGAGGGAATGTGAAGCAGGGGCAGGGTGGGAGGGGGGGGTGTGCAGCAGGGCCAGGGTGGGAGGGGGGGGTGTGTGGGTGTGTGGGTGAGAGGCTCAACAATATTGCTTCTCACATGGTATCTACACACGCTTAAACGTACATATAAAGCTCACCAGCAATCACTGGCTCACAAGAAACACAGTGAAGTGATGGCTGAGCCGCACACTCGGGCACAGATGATTGCTTTTGAGGCGCCTCAAAACTGAGACTACTTTTGACGCGCCTCAAAAGCTGGGTTGCCTCCAATCATGGCAGAGCCGCACACTTGGGCACAGATGGGCCGCACACTTGGGCACAGATGGGCCGCACACTTGGGCACAGACGGGCCACACACTTGGGCACCGATGGGCTGCACACTTGGGCACAGATGGGCCGCACACTTGGGCACAGATGGGCCGCACACTTAGGCACAGATGGGCCGCACAGTTGGCTCACAAATGACTCGCGGATTTCTTGCGGGTGAATCAGACTTGACTCACAGTGTGACAAGGTTTGTGAGGTTGCCAATGGACGCAGGAAGCGAACCCGAGAGAGTGTTGTTGGCCAGACCACTACGGTGGAGGGAGAAAGAGTAGAAGACGGAGAGCATGATGTGAGTGGGAGCACGCAGAAAGAAATAGCTTGAGTCGAATCAAGAATGGAAGAATGAAGCAACGGGATACTGATGTAAGATGGGAGGACCTGGAGGACGCGGGCAACAGGATACTGATGTAAACGATGGGAGGACCTGCACCTGGAGGACCTGGACCTGGAGGACCTGGAGGACGCGGGCAACGAGGATACTGATGTAAACGATGGGAGGACCTGCACCTGGAGGACCTGGACCTGGAGGACCTGGAGGATACTGATGCAAACGAATCGTTTCCCCCAAGTGCTTTCACTGCCACCATCAAAGCATCAGCCCAAATGGCTCTAGAGATTCAAAGAAGGAAATATTTGCACCAGCTCTGGAAGAAGGATGAGGGGTCGTACAGATTCTGGCACGCGGAAAGAGCGCCAATGCTGTCAGGTAGTGTGCCGTTGAGGAGATTGTCAGAGATGCTCCTGATGGGTTAGGGGGGTTAGAAAGGGGTGAAGAAGTGTGAGAGAATATTCTTGATGCCATCAGGTAGAGTGCCGTTGAGGAGATTGTCAGAGACGCTCCTGAGGGGGAGGGAGGGAGAGAGAGGGAGGGGTGAAGAGGGGCGAAATCCTAAGGAAATCTAAGGCATGCAGAACAGGGTCAGCCATGCTATCAGGGAGAGTGCCGTTGGGGACACTGTCAGAGAGGACGGAGCGAGATGGAGAGAGGTGCAGATCGGTAAAGATGGGTGAAAAGGGGTGTAAGGGACCTAAAGGACAGGCTCTTAGCGCCATCAGGGAGAGCGATGAAGAGTGGGGAAGAGAGGTGAAGATGATGGACAAGGGGATGTGGGTATGATGCATCAGATAAGCGCCATTCATGCATCATATAAGCGCCATTCATGCATCATATAAGCGCCATTCATGCATCATATAAGCGCCATTCATGCATCATATAAGCGCCATTGATGCATGAATGAAAGGAGGAGGGAGTATACAGGTAAGTGAGGAGGGACAGAGCAGAGATTGCTGCGGGAAGGGAGCCCGAGAGTGAATTGTTGTCCAGATTTCTGAAGGAGAGGGGAGAGGGCGAAGAGGAGAGGGCGAAGAGGAGAGGGCGAAGAGGATTGAGAGGAAAGGGGCATTGGGACGAAGGGGCGAGGGCGCACACCAAGGAATGAGGAACTTTGGCTGACACGTGGATGGTTCAGCAGTCTGCCTGCAAACCTATTTTTGAGGCGCCTCAAAAAATAGTCTGTCTGCAAAAACTGTGAGCGAAATAATGACTTTGAAAGGGTGTTGGGTGTTCTTAAGGAACTGGAATGATTGGAAGGGAGCAGGTTGAATAGAAAGACCGCCACTCAAGAAAGAAGGAAACGGTATGTTGAAAGGAATGGACGTGAAAGGAATGGACGTGAAAGGAGAAGGGATGGGAGGGAAGGGATGGGAGGGAATGGATGGGGGGAAGGGATGGGAGGGAAGGGATGGGGGGGGAGGGATGGGGGGGAAGGGATGGGGGGGAAGGGATGGGAGGGAAGGGATGGGAGGGAAGGGATGGGAGGAAGGGATGGGGGGAAGGGATGGGAGGGAAGGGATGGGAGGGAAGGGATGGGGGGGAAGGGATGGGAGGGAAGGGATGGGAGGGAAGGGATGGGAGGGAAGGGATGGGGGGAAGGGATGGGAGGGAAGGATGGGGGGAAGGGATGGGAGGGAAGGGATGGGGGGGAAGGGATGGGAGGGAAGGGATGGGAGGGAAGGGATGGGAGGGAAGGGATGGGGGGGAAGGGATGGGAGGGAAGGGATGGGGGGGAAGGGATGGAGGGAAGGGATGGGGGGGAAGGGATGGGGGGGAAGGGATGGGGGGGAAGGGATGGGAGGGAAGGGATGGGGGGGAAGGGATGGGGGGGAAGGGATGGGAGGGAAGGGATGGGAGGGAAGGGATGGGAGGGAAGGGATGGGGGGGAAGGGATGGGGGGGGAAGGGATGGGGGGGAAGGGATGGGGGGGAAGGGATGGGGGGGGAAGGGATGGGGTGGAAGGGATGGGGGGGAAGGAAGGGATGGGGGGGAAGGGATGGGGGCACACAGTCGGAGGAGTGCAGTGAGCTTGCCGAGGGCATCAGGCAGGGAGCCGTTGAGACGGTTGTCAGAGAGCGTTCTGCGAGGGGGGGGAGAGAAAAGGGGGTTTGGGGGGTGGGGGAAACGAAGGTGGGGGCGAGGAGGAATTGGAAAGGAGGATGAGGTTGCCGGAGTCATCAGGCAGGGTACGGTTGAGATGGTTGGCATAGAGAGTTCTGTGGTCGGGGGGAGAGGCGAGTGAGGGATTAGAGAAAGAGGGGAAAGGAGATGAGAGCGAGGGAGGATGAGCAGATAAAGGAAGACCAGGGTTTAGAAAGAAGGGGGAATTCTGGCGGGAAGAGGGGGTATGATGGGGGTATGATGGGGAGACCGTGTGGGGTATGATGGGGGAGACGGTGATGGGGGGTTGGGTGGGGTACAAAGGGGTTTTGAGGCCCAGACAAGAAGGCTGACGGTTTATTCTGAAAAGGGGGTGTGACGAAGGAGGTCTAAAAATGGTTCTAGAGGGACAGACACTGGATGTTGCTGCTGCTCACAAGGTTTGCAGTTTGGAGAGGCCAGCAAGGGATGGAGGCATAGGGCCAGTGAGCTGGTTGTTGAAGAGGCCTCTGGAGGAGAGCGGGGAGGAGAAGAGGGAGGAGAGCAGGGATGAGAATGGGGACGAATGGAGCGAAGGAGAATGATGAGGGAGAAGAGAACAGGGAAGGGAACAGGGGGGGGGGGAGAACCCGGGGGAGGAAACGGAATTAGGGTGTGAAAGAGGGAGGGGAAAAAAGGGGAGCGGGAGAAATTAGGAGGCGTTGACGACAAGTGAAGGTGGGTTGAAATAGGTGAGGGATGACATAAAGAGGTACCATACTGCGAGCGCTGCCCTAGGAGGTTCGGAAGGGCAACATTCTTTTGAGGCGCCTCAGAAGAGCGAGCGTGACACTAAGAGGTACGGGAGGGCAGAAATGAGAGGTATTGAACCCTAAATGCGAGGCATTGAGGTACGACGCGAGTTCACCCTCGACCCTAAACCCAGCACTCACAGGTAGGAGAGGTTGGTGAGATTCCCTATAGACTCTGGAATGGGCCCTGTGAGCTGATTGACGCCTAGATTGCTGGTGAGCGGGGAGAGAGGGGGCGGTTGGGAGGGGGGGAAGGGGGGGGCGGGTTGGGGAGGGGAATGTGGAAAAAGGGGAGGGGAAGGGAAGGGGGCAAGGAGGGAGGAGAGAGGGGAGGAGGGGGAGAGAGGGGAGGAGGGGGAGAGAGGGGAGGAGGGGGGAGAGAGGGGAGGAGGGGGGGGGGAAAGACGGGAAATTTGAGGGGGATTGGATTGGCAGAGAAAGAGGAGCGAGGGAAGACGGAAACACGCTCAAAGGGGGGGGGGGTGGGAGAGTTTCCGACGGGTGTGTGCAAAGGAAAGTGGATGTCGCAATCATAGGTCGGGGGGGAGGTGGGCGTATTACAGGTGTTGGAGGAGAGAGAGATTGCCAATGACTGATGGAATGGTCCCAACGAGTTGAGAGTTGTTGAGCGACCTGCTCGTGCACGCATGAGGGCAACAGGAAGAGAGGGCGATAGTGAGCGCTGGGACAGAGTCTAGTTGAAGCGCCTCCCCTGCATCCAGTCTCGGATAGGGGCTTGAAAAAACGGCCATGTCTCAATAGCCACGCCATGACTCAACAGCCATGCTGGTACTATTTAAATGACGAAGAGTCATGGCGTGGCTATGGAGACATGGCCGTTTTTTTGTGGCGTGGCTCCGGTACTACGGAGTTAACCACTGGGTGGACGAAGAGTCTACTGACGAGTACTCACTTCTGAATATCCATGCCATTGCCATCTACTAACGAGTGCTCACATCTGAATACCCATGCCATTGCCATCTACTAACGAGTGCGCACATCTGAATGACCATGCCATTGCCGCCGCAGATCAGCCCGCTGGCTTGAGAGCAGTTGGTGAAAGTGCGGCCCCACCCCTTGCCCAGTACAGCCAGCACCGCCGCTGATAAGGGGAAAGGGGCATGAGAAGCAAATGAATGTGGCCGTTAACGAGGTGTGATGGTGGTGAAAGTGCGGCCCCACCCCTTGCCCAGTATAGCCAGCACCGCCGCTGATAAGGGGAAAGGGGCATGAGAAGCAAATGAATGTGGCGTTAACGAGTGTGATGGTGGTGAAAGTGCGGCCCCACCCCTTGCCAGGTATAGTCAGCACCGCCGCTGATAAGGGGAAAGCGGCATGAGAAGCAAATGAATGTGGCGTTAACGAGTGTGATGGTGGTGAAAGTGCGGCCCCACCCCTTGCCGAGTATAGTCAGCACCGCCGCTGATAAGGGGAAAGGGAATGTATGAGAAGCAGAGTGAATGTGGCGTTAACAAGTGTGATAGTGATGTGAGAGTGCGGCCGCACCCCTTGCTCAACATAAATAGCACCGCCGCTGATAAAGAAAATACTAGGGAGAAGCAGAGTGGAGTGTGGCATTAACGAGTGTGATGATGGTGACAGTGCGGCCCCGTCGCCGAGTATGGTTAGCTTAGCGCCGGCGCGGATAAAAAGAAAACAAAGGAGAAGTGGAGCGAATGTGGCATCAACGTGTGATAGTGGTGACAGAGTGGACCGCGGCCTACGTATGCCGTGTAAAGCTACCACCGAAATAACCCATAGGAAGTGATCAAGTGTGGAATCATCTGCTAGGAGACCCTTTTTGCTCGTTTAGGCACTGTAACAATAAGCTGCACTATCTTACGTTTCAGGAGCTGAAGAAGGTTCTCTACAGGGTATTTGTGAGAATTCTCAAAACTACCCTGCAAACTCAGGAATGAGTTCATCCTGGTTTGAATAAAACCTACTGTTCATTCTCTAAGCTCCAGGTGTTCATGGTTACCTCTGTTTCATTCTCTAAGCTCTAGCTCAAGCTCAAGCTCAAACTCAAACTGCCTCGCAACGCACTCAACCACCATGAGACCCTTTCTGCTCGTTTAGACACCTTAACATCAAGCTGCACCAACTCACGTCTCAGGTATTTCGGAACTTCGTATTTCCGTGTGTAATGAGTCGATTTTTGAGTCGACTCAAAAATCGACTCATTACACACAGATACCACCATCAAGCTGCACCAACATACGTTTCAGGTATTTCGGGGACTTCGTATTTCGGAACGCCAACGCCCCTGGAAACATTTTTTGGGATGGATTCGGTTCCGAAAGCAGTCTAGATACCTGAACAGCAAGTCGCACCCTTTTCGTTTCAAAGAGTTCGGACCTGCTGCAAGGACAAGCATAGATACCTAAGAAACGCGCTACACTACCTTGCGACGGGTGTAGCTTGGATTTCGCCCCAGATACCAACGCAGGAGCCGATTCGAATACCACTGCTAAAAGCAGGAGCCCGACGACTAATCTAAGGACCGAGATTCGCGACATTTCTTCAGTCGGACGACTAAAAGTTAACAAATTTCTTCAGTTTCGTTGAGGGGAAGCAAGGTGGGTGACAAAGAACCGCTCAGCTCGAAAGGACGATTACTATCAAGAGCAAGGCCGAGCACTAGCGCTAAACGGGTGCTTGCTGCTCTAACTGCTGCAGAGAGAATAACGAAGAAGTCCGCCCAGACCGGTGTATATGGCGCAAGACTCGTCTAAACGCACGGGAGAGCATCGAATACGGCCTACACGGTTCCACAGAGCGATAGTAGTTCGTCTGATGACGTCTATGGGCGAAAGTGAGTACTAGGCCAGCACGGCGAACCTAAGTAGACGCGTCACATCACCATTATTGACAGCAGTTCCAAGACGAGGCGAACTAGGTTGATGGCGTGGCGATGATGGCTCGTCAGTGAAATAGTGCGACGTCCGAGCGGCAGGTGCAGGAAGGTCTGTGCGAGCCCGAGAAGTTCTCAAGGGTACAGCGGTGTGCAGGTGGGAAGGTGATTGGTTGGTTGGTTGGACTTCATTTCCCTCGATTTCTTCGCCCAGTTCAGCAACGAGGCAGATTCTAGGTTTCCCAGGTCAGTCCGTATGGGAGGTTTTCGCACGCCTTGGGTGGCGTGGTATGTTGGAGACTGTGAGCGAATCCTCGAGCTTGACGCGACACAGGCGAGGCGAATTCAGCAAGCGAAGCTCTCGCACGAATTCTGGCTGGCGCATTTTCCCCTTGGGATTGACGGGACAGGCGAAGCCAAGCGAGCGAACGATGTTTGCGACCGCCGCCAGGGTTGACCTACCTAGAGCAGGTGCTGAGAATTGTGCTCCTCAACCTGCGACTTCGTTGACTGTCATTCGCTAGCACCTGTGGCTTCGGTGTCGCACTGTCGCACTCATACCACTCCGTGCACGGCCTCCACTTCAGAAGGTAGTCCTCGTTACCGTAATATCCGCCTCTTGGTAACAAATCTGACATGCACATCATTACTCCACTATGAAAGTCAACTCAACCAAGCCCATGCACCTAGTACATCCACGACTCAACATGCTATGTACTGCCATACGAAACACCTGTACACCCGTCCTGAAGACTTTCAGCTACACGATCCCCAGAAAACACCGTCACACTTGCCTCCTATGCAATAGACACCTCATATCAAGCATCTACAGTCGACAATCTCAAATCAAGCCTAACACATCATCCCCAGGATCGTCCACTTGGGCGTCTGTCTCAGCATCCCTCCAACATCGGGTACTGGTTCCGTTCATCGCACACTGCCTCATAAACCGTCGCATACGCGTCCGCCAGTACCCCCAGCACCAGCCCATTCGCCTGCACCCTCAGCTTGTCCCTCCCACTACATCAAGCTCAGGCAGCTCCTTTCCATCAAACCTCTAACCAATCTCCTCAGTCTAATCACGTCTCATATCCCCAGGATCGTCCGCATGTGCTCAGGTGTATGTCTCAACAACCCCCCAGCATCAGGGTACTGGTTCCTCTCATCGCACACCGCCTCATAAACCGCCGCATACGCATCCGCCAGGGCCCCCGCCACCAGCCCAGTGGCCTGCGCCCTCAGCTTCGCCACGCCCAGCGCCTCAAACTCAGGCAGTCGCCCCTCGGCCCCCGCCAGGAGAGCAAACAGCCGCTGAAGAGATTCTGCCACTGCAGAGGGGGACGCCTCTGGGAGAAGCGCAAGAGGAGGGAGCTGCGGCGGTGATTCTCCAGCCTTCTCTGCCTCCTGCTGCTGCTGCTGTTGTTGCTGGGAGGCCTGGTTGACTTGCGCTATGAGGCGGAGGATCGGCGAGAGCAGGCAGTGGTCGAGAATGGCCGCCACCTCCAGCTGCACCATGGCGGTGACGTGCTCTGAGAGGGCTGCTGCCAGCCCGTGCGAGTACGGCGAGAGCACTGGGAAAGGGGCAAGGGGCCCATGCATGGTGGCCAGACAGTTGGCCAGGAATATGTGCCGTGCCACGCTCACAGCCTGATGGGAGGAGGGATACAGGGAGAGAGGAGAGGAGTTGCATGGCAGACAGTGGCCTAAGATGGTAGCTATTTCCAGCTGCACCACAGCAGTGACTTGCTCTGAGGAGGGGCGGGGGGATAAGAGAGGGGCGTGACAGCACTGGCAGGGGGGCAAGGTCCGCGTGTACAGCAGCCACCTCCAGCTGCACCATGGTGATCACATGCTCTGACAGGGCTGCTGCCAGCCCGTGCGAGTACGGGGAGAGCACTGGGAAAGGGGCGAGGGGCGCGTGATGGCGGCTACGCAGTTGGCCAGGAAGATGTGCCGCGCCACGCTCACAGACTGATCGAGGGGGGACGGCAGGAAATGGCGAAAAATAGGTGGTGGGAGGTGGGGGAAGGGAGGCAGATGGCCAGGAATATGTGCCGCGCCACGCTCACAGCCTGCCATGCTCACAGCCTGCCATGCTCACAGCCTGCCGTGCTCACAGCCTGCCACGCTCACAGCCTGCCACGCTCACAGCCTGCCACACTCACAGCCTGCCACGCTCACAGCCTGCCATGCTCACAGCCTGCCATGCTCACAGCCTGCCACGCTCACAGCCTGCCATGCTCACAGCCTGCCATGCTCACAGCCTGCCACGCTCACAGCCTGCCACGCTCACAGCCTGCCACGCTCACAGCCTGCCATGCTCACAGCCTGCCATGCTCACAGCCTGCCACGCTCACAGCCTGCCACGCTCACAGCCTGATGGAGGGGGTTGGCGAGGTGGGAGGGGAAGGCTAGGGGATGAGGGGGAGGGAAAGGAGAACGAGGGAGAGACGAGTCGTTGATGCCTTCTCCCAGAAAGTTAAAACTCATTCGTACACTCAGAGAACTCACCCTTTCACCCAACTCGGAACTTCTCATAACCACAGCCCTTGAGTTAAATCTATGAGTGTTTTTACACTTCGTAAATTCACTGTATTTTCTCCCCAACCAGCCCAATGTTTCTTCCCTTCACCCATTGGCAGCAACCCCCTTGTTCCAGCAACCTCCTTGTTCCAGCAACCCCCTTGTTCCAGCGTCTTCAGGGCCAACTCAAAACTCAAACTCCGCATAGTCACTGTGTTCTCCACCACACCTGCCTCCCAGTCAGTGGACCTTCTTCCCAGCAGGCCTTCCATTCACCTCAAGAGTCACATGGGGTAACCAGGGTAACCCTCCCACTCAAACCACTCACCATGTTCCCCAACACCCCATCTGCTTCCCCATCAGTGGACCGCGCCGGCTTAAAGCCGCGGTACACATTCAACGCGGCTCGGGATGGAAATGTGATGGTCAAGAAAGGGGGATGGAAGTGATTGGAGGGCGGAGAGGCGTAAGGAACGGAATTGGGCTAAGTTTCGTCGAGGGGGAATTCGACCTGCGATACTGGGGGAAACGGAATTGATTTTTGAGGTGCCTAAAAAATTCGACTAGCGATACTGGGGGGAAACGGAATTGCGTTGGGGGGATTGGATTTTGCGGGATGGGGGGAATCCAAATTGACAGGGGAAATTGGAATTGCGAGGGGTGGGGGAAATCGAACTTGACTGGGCGGGAATTGGACAAGCGAGGGGAAGGGGAAACGAAATTGACGGGGGGAGTTGGACGAGCGAGGGGTGGCAGGGGGAATCGAATTTGGGGGGCAGGCGTGGGGGGTTCGAAATTGGTGGCTCAGGGGGAATCGTTAGGGGAAGGGGGAATCGTTGGGGGAAGGGGGAATCGTTGGGGGAAACAAGTTGAAGTGAATGTGTTCGAGATCGTTGGGGGAAGGGGGAATCGAAACCGTGGGGGAAGGAGGTTGGGGAAACGTGAGGAAAGGGGGATGAGTCGAGAGATGGTCATCTGGAATTTCAGTACACAAATGCCACAATCCCCCCCTCAAATGTTTATGTGCAGGTAGCGAGACGCCACCTCCAGCAGGCATCACTCAGTTACCACTGTTTCAAATGTTTATCACTTGAAACAAGTTGAAGTGAATGTGTACCGCGGCTTTAAGTGCAGTGGCCCCTTTTCCTCCCATGAGTTGACCCCCCTTCAGGTCAACTCATAAGTTACACTGAGAACACTCCCACTCAAAGCAACCACTCATCATCGTGGCCTCCACCCCGTCTGCCTCCCCATCCGTGGTGGGTCATTCTTGAGTCGACTAAAAATAAGAATGACTCAAGAATGCATTCTCCATGCACGGAGCACCACGCACGCTCAACGCATTCTCAGCGTCTTAACACTCGCCGTGTGCTCCGCCCCATCTGCCCCCTCCAAACCACTCTTCGTGTTCTCCACCCCATCTAACCCCTCTGAACCACTCACTGTGTTCTCCACCCCATCTGCCTCCCCTTCAGTGGACAGCCGGTTCAAGAGCAGCAACCCCACCTTCCCAGCGCCCCACTCTCGCCCCCCGTGCCTGCTGCAGCGCTGCCCAGCGTGGTCGCAGCAGAGGCGCCGCGGGTCAGCTCATAAGCCACGCTGAGAACACTCCGACTCAAATCAACCACTCACCGTGTTCTCCACCCCATCTGCCTCCCCTTCAGTGGACCGCCGGCTCAAGGGCAGTGACCCCCGCCTTCCCAGCGCCCCACTCTCGCCCCCCGCGCCTGCTGCAGCGCTGCCCAGCGTGGTCGCAGCAGTGGCACGGCGGGTCAGCTCATAAGCCACGCTGAGAACACTCCCACTCAAATCAACCACTCACCGTGTTCTCCACCCCATCTGCCTCCCCTTCAGTGGACCGCCGGCTCAAGGGCAGTGACCCCCGCCTTCCCAGCGCCCCACTCTCGCCCCCTGCGCCTGCTGCAGCGCTGCCCAGAGTGGTGGCAGCAGAGGCCCGGCGCGGGAGAGAAGAGCATCCAGAGGAGAGGGCGGAGACGACTTTTGCTGTTAGGGTCTGCGCTGCCCGTGTGCACACCTGCGGGATTTAGGTAGGGTGGGGTGGGAAAAGGGTGGGAGCAGCACGTATGAGGCGCGGCCCAGCCGGCACCATCATGCTTGCATGCGCCTGCACCAGCTCCAGCACCGCCGCCACTCCCTCGCCCACCAGAGGCAAGGGAAGGGGGAAGGGAACAGTGGAGACAGCAGGGGAGAGCAGAAGAGGCCTGTGGGGGACAGCAGGGCAGAGCACTCACCTCCACAACGGGATTCAGCAGAGCAGCAGCAACAGGCAGGAAGTCGGGCTTGCCAGCCCGGCCGGCACCATCATGCTGGCATGCGCGTGCACCAGCTCCAGCACCACCGCCACCCCCTCCCCCGCTAGCTGTGAGCAGGAGAGGGGAAAGCACTCACCTCCACAAGGGGATCCAGCAGAGCTGCAGCAACGGGTAGAAAGTCCGGCTTGCCAGCCCCAGCCGGCACCATCATGCTCGCATGCGCGTGCACCAGCTCCAGCACCACCGCCACCCCCTCGCCCACCAGGGGCGGGGGGGAGAGGTCAGTG